AAGAGCCCCGGTGCTGGCTGGAGAAGGCACCCTGCGGTGGTGGAGAGATGAAAAAAAAAACTGTGCGAGGAGATGTGCGAGCACTGACATCATGCGCGATGGAAACTAATCCGTGTCGTACGCTCAATTAGTGCTCACCGGCTGACGGGCTGAGCTGCGCAACGTGTGCCCCCAAGTCAGCCTCGCGCTCTCCTGCGGGGCGTTCTGGAAGCTTCTTTAGATGAGGCTGGAAGGGGCGAGGTGGCCGGATTCCGCGCCCAGCCCTGGACGGAGTAGGGAGCTCTCTTTGATCTGTGAGGCTGGCAGCCACCAGGAGATGGAGAGCAAGACATCCGCCTTGTAAAACATCCACGAAGACAAAATCCCGCGCAGAGGTGGTGGTCCGGCAGGCTGGAGCCGAGCCTGCGCTTGCAGAAAGCCTGGCTCGAGGCCTGGCTGAGCAGCAGGGACCTACGGCCCCTGGAAATCTAGGCCAAGGACCAGAATGCCCATTTGCCAACTCATGCTGCGGGGTGACCGTGGCTTCCCTCCACTCTCTCCGTGCGCATCTGTTCCAACGAGGGGGCCCCGCTGGCTCCCTTCCTGAGCCCCATGGAAACACTGCCTCTGGGAACGCAGGAGCCTCCGAAGAAGGGAACGACCAGACCTGGAGTCAGCGCTGCCTCACTGTGGCCCGATGGGCGGGCAGCCACCCACAGCAGAGCGGCTTGTCGTCTGCTGTGGCTGTGTACTGAGCAGCCAGAGCGCATTGTGTGGCCATGTTCACAGACACATAGTGGCTCCCACTATGACAGCACCCTCTTGTCCTCTGGTCCCCATTCCGACACAGCACATCCGCACGTCACCATTCTTTAGGAAGAAGTCTATTGCATCCGCAATGCCATGGAGTTAAAAGTGTGTGGACATGACTCCTAAGGCCACTGGATTTCTGACTCACCAGACAATGATCAAATTTATATTTTTCTGCACCACCCGCCTTTTAGATGGTGTTTATGTTTCACATTAAATACAGTTCTCTTTGGCTTCCCCGGCTGCCTGGGGCCTAGTTCTGCTCTGTCCTAGAGCAGCTCGCCCGGGAGCTGCCTCTCCATGTGGCCTCTGGGGTCGATTCATTTTTCTCCCGATGCCTTAATGAGTGATGATTTCTAGAGACAATCAGATCGGCTGTGCGGGAGATTCCGTTCCATCATTACGACAGCCGGAAACATCACAGGCACCATTTTTCAAACCCATGTTTTTCATCACACAGATATGAGTTGATTAAACCTTTGTGATATTACATTGGGATATTCGAAAATAGCCTTTACTGGCCAGCATGTGGGTCTTGTTTCTGATAAATCTATTACTGCTATGGGTGGTACTTTTGCATATGGCATTGGAGAGCAAAGACTGAAGCCAGACTCCCTGGGTCCAAATCCCAACTCTGCCACTTACTGCTGTGTAACTGGTGAAGTCACTCCACCTCTCTGCGCCCAGTTCCCTCCCTGATAAACTAGAAATAATATTAATAATGAGATACTTAACTCACAGGGCAGTCTCCAGGGTCAAAGTGGTTACTATGTGTAACATGCATGCACATAGCGAGAGCTACAGATGTTTGCCATTATTATTATTTACTCCTCTCTACAGTCCCTTGACATAGAGCTAATGTGTTGATTAGAAAACTGATATTGGAGAAGGGTTAAGTAACTTGCCCAAACAGAGACATGACATCAAATTTTATGTTCAGAATAGAATGTCTGTGCTCACTGCTGTTTTACTTCTCCCTCAAGGTTGGCCTTTATGTGAAGGGAAATAAAGATGTTGCTGGGGAGGACCCTACCCCCAGCTCCGTCAGCAAGCAAAAGGACCAAATGAGACATACATTCAGTTAGTCATTGATCAAGCCCAGATTAAGCATCCACTATGTGCTAGGCACTGTGCCAGACCCTTGAGGATCTCACAGGCTATCTAGAGAGCTGGACAGAGACACAACTAATCCCATACACTAAAATGAGTGCTAGAAAAGACACTTATACCAAGTGTTATGGGGAAATAGAGATCTGAGGGAAAGGGGGAAGCGGGGAATCTGGTTAATATTGTGGGCTCCCCTGACTCCAGCCTTGTATCAGTCAGGTTTCTGCCAATACTGCTGCATAACAAACAACCCCCCAAGTCTCCATGGCTTATGGTAACAATCATTTATTTTTCTTCAGCTGAACTTGGCTCTAGGCAGCAAGTTGGTTTCAGGGCTGTACCACATAACTCTGCCTTCTGAGACCAACAGCTATCAGCACACATTCTTCTCAAAGCAACCAGCAAGAGAGCAGGAGGCCAATGCAAACCACACAAGCATATTTAAAGGCTCTATTCACATCATCTCTGCTAACTTCCCATTGGCCAAAATAAGTCATATAACCAAGCATCATGAATGGCACTATACTCTGCCCACTGTAACTGGAGGGGTTGCAAAGCCACATCAGTGTGGTTGTATAATCCTATTATCCGGATGGAGTAAAGACTTAGGAGCAAGAATGCAATCTACCTTAAGGGCCAAAGGCAAGCCCCAGAAAGGAGAAGAATGTGAGTTGTACAAGCATTAGCAGCCACCCCGGGAAACAGGGTGTGGCTAGTATATTTGTTAGGTGAGAGACCGAAACTCAACTCAAATTCCCCTTTGCTACATAACTGGGGAGTCTGGGATTTCTTGTATTCTAGTTTAACTGTATCCGAAGGCTCAAATGGTGTTGGCAGGGTTCTGTCACTCTCTCTACATCTTTCTGTTGAGGTTTTTTGTGTCGTGGGAAGTTGGACTGACGATTTTGTGATCTTTACAGCGTGGGATCCCAGAGGACACAAGAGTCTCCTACAGCACTCACATATCTCAGGGCAGCTGCCAAGTGGCCCAGTTTGCCCCATCTCTGCACCCTCTAGAATCGAATGCCCTGTGTGACTGCCTAGGAGGACAGTGGACTGGGGACACAATGATGGTCAGTCCCACTGAGGGTCAGTTCTCCAAAGAAAGTCATCATATTATTTCAGGACAAAGAAAGAATGGATGCCAGGCACAGCTAAAGATTTCATTCAGTAAGTGTTGCTGTTAGATCTTGCTATGCAACAAACCACCCAGAACTTAGTGGCTCACGGCAATGATGCATTCTTTCTCATGGTGCATCTGCTAGACTTGTCTGGCCTTATTCATGCTGTTGCTGCCACAGGGTGAGTCCACTGGAACTGAAGGGTCACATGCCTGGGACTTGGTGCTGGCTCTTGCCCGGGGTGCCCTCATTCCCCTCCAGATGACCTTTCACCCTCCGATTGGCTAGACTGCCACACGAGGCTTCTTTACATCTTGGAGGTCCCAGGGGTCCAAGAGAGGGTAACAGTGTAAGC